GTCATTCGACAACATAGATAGATAGAGATACCTTTGAAAGTTAGGATATACAATGATATCATATCATTAGGAATCGGGACTCTACCGACGGTGAGATTGCCACCCCTATTCATCCCACTGACGGTCCCACCGCATCCTCTCTATCTAGCGCAATACGCGGCGATCAGAGAAGGTTTCATCTTAGCATAAATTGAAGTAGATGTCTAATATCTTATAATTAATGCTTCTCCTAAGATTGAGGGTATTAAGGTGACAGTGGTAATGATACAGGCGATGGTACTTTAAAACAAGCACTCAACACAGTACAAAATTTACTATCGGGAGTTTTGAAACGACTTGAAAACAAACGTGCCAAGGAAGGTTGAACAGAATCGAAAGGCGCTCATGGTGTTGCAGAATTTTGGACTACGTAGTTCTCTAGATAACTAGTTAAGTATACCAGGAATTACGTAATCATAACTCCTCTCCTACCAGGTCCGCGGGGTATTCCCTCCATATTCAATAACCATTGCACAAAGGCCTATATATGACTTACAGCTTTCTCAATTGACTGAGCCCCTTTAAACAGTGACAAACTTCAACCATGGCATCTTTGAAGGGACCAGGAGCTACTCCAAGCTTTGACGGTACGAGAGATACAAAAGAAGGGAGTTTTAGCTCATCGCTTGCTTATCAGTTTCTATAGGCTCGGGGCTTCGAATTGCAATTGTTCATGCGAGATGGAATATGGGCATAATTGGTCCTCTCGTGGAAGGGGCAAGGAAGAGCCTTTTAGCAGCTGGTGTAGTTGAGGACCATATCACAACCCTCACTGTCCCGGGCAGCTATGAGTTACCATATGCCGCTCAGCGGTAAGTATAACTTGTTCTTATGCCTAACTACCAGGGGTTCATCCTGACACCTGCTCCCTTTCCTCCTAGGCTCTACGCCGCTTCTCAGCTGCAAGCAGCCAAGAGCTCGTCCTCCGGTGAGGGAATCAGTGCCACGGATCTGCTCTCTTCCTCTACCGCAGACATTAGCAAAGCGTCCCCGCAATCGCCAACATCCGCTACCACTCGGCCGTTTGACGCTATTATCGCCATAGGCGTCCTTATCAAGGGAGAGACCATGCATTTTGAATACATCGCAGATGCTGTCTCTCACGGATTGATGCGTGTTCAATTAGATTCGGGCGTGCCTGTCATTTTTGGGGTGCTCACCGTTTTGACCGAAGAACAGGGCTTGGAAAGGGCTGGGCTAGGGAAGAAAGGAATGCATAATCATGGAGAAGATTGGGGTAATGCCGCCGTGGAGCTTGGAGCAAGAAGAAGAGAGTGGGCTGAAGGCAGAATTGCCTAGAGCTGTTTCGAAACTTCCAGGGAATTGATCGTTGGGGATTTGATGAGACCTGTAAGTTAGTATTTTAGTAGCAGGCCCTCATGGTCAGAGGTATAGGACTTACTATGTATGCGCAACATTATACTGGATTGACGACTTGCTGGAAATGAAAAATTGTATTAGGATATTCTTAGATTCCGTCTTTGGTTTGCTCATTCTACTCCTCCATCCGCTCGCCTTGGTTGGTGCCATCCTTTGCTACTTCCTCTTCCTCCTCGTCTTCACCTTCTAGAGATCTCTTTGCCGCCTTTTCTGCTTCCTCGAGAAGTTGTTGGGGCACTTCTTCATGCCTACCATGGGTTGGCCCGTCTAGTGAGCTAATCCAAGACATTTCTAACTCGAAATCTTTGTCCTTGCTGTCCTCGTGCGCAACGTAGATGATTCGAGCTGCCTCTTTTACGGCATCAACCAAACTCAGGTTACCCGAACTTAGATCTAACTTCTCAAGTTCAGCCTTAGCAGCCTGTCTCCCCTTCCCGGTAGCGGCACCATGGTAACCCTTTGAAGCAGCAGTCAGCGCGCAGTAGCTAGTTTGGGATTGTTGATGTCTGCCTTACCCAGTACAGCCCACTTGGCTCAATCATGTATAGGCCTGGTCCTCCAGCCTTAGCCCCATCAACCTTACCCCCAGAGCCTGATTTAGGCCCACTGCCGACTTGACCGTCGACGGCAAGCTCGGCTTCAGAATCCCAGCCGCCCACAATAGCAGTCACACCAAAAGGTCGTACACTGGAGTAGAGGGTATAAGCTTGTACGTAGCTGCCCAGGCGATTCGACAGAGCAGACACTGGAATAGGGCCCTTGTATACGCTTCTCCATGACGCAGCCTCATCTCTGGCACGGGAAACAAAGTGTCGACCGTCTGGGACTAGGCCGGCAGAGACCTATTTATTTCCATCCACGCATATCAGTAAGGAGGCTAATGACCACGGCATGGGTTATTCCCACACCGGTCGAAGTTGGGCCGTGACATACGATACCAACGTGTCGATCGACTGTTGTTATTCTCTTATTTGCACCCGGCTTCAGAAGCTTGCTAGTGATGATCTTCTCGACAGCTAGCACGACACCGTCCTTGCATCTTATACCAATGGCTGTTCCTCCATTTTCAACCGCTTTAGCTGCATATTCCACCTATCGATATAGTTGACTTAGTGACTTGTCAGAGTAAAACTATGGGAAATCTTAGCCTATTAGCTACCTGAAAGTTGCGGCCATCTGGCGAGAAGACCGAGTTAGAAAGATCATAACCAGTACCGATGGACGTCTGTGTTATGATGATGTTAGTGAGTGTTTAGAAACCTTCGCGTAGTTGGAAACAAAAACGAACCATGGTCTTCACTAGTTTCGTTTGTCACAAGACAAGGGCAATCACTGCTTTCTTTCTAGAGTGGAAAATCAACAAGTATTATGTGAAACAGCAATCTGATAGAAAGAGTCACGGAGCAAGTGTAGCGAGAAGTGATGTTGGAAGCTCCTAATGATAAGCAAGGTAGTAACTACAGCCGGTAGGTACGTATGTATGACCGCCCAGTCTAACCTAGCTCCGCGTCACGGGGTTTCTGCCTACTCACTAGTACGAATATGGTAGTATTCTAGAGTCACATGATACAGAAGAACATCCTCGAACTCTCAGTACAACTATACCCCTCTATTTCCTAACTTGCTGTATACCTACTTGGACTTTCTATTGGTTTTGATCTGAATTTAAAGTGGCACCAGTAAAATCCCACAACTTAGTCAAGTCTCAACTTAGTCGCCAGGGTAATTCGCCCGCTCTAAGTGCCCAATCTGCCCGCATCTTTGGGCATCTGTGCCAGTCCTTAGCCGGTGGCAGTCTACGCTCAAGTAGTAGCATCTTCCATCCAAGAGGTTCATGCCGCCCCTCTTTCCAGCATGTTCAAGCGCTTATAATGGAACCTTTCACTCCGTGTGGATTTCTACTTCTTTGTACTGCTTCTGTCGCATATATCGCCTATGAACCTTTCCTACTATAGGAGTTCCTGTGACAACTTCATACTGTACGACTCATTTCTCAAGTTTTCTTTTATAACTCTAGATACCCCAAACCATGTCTTTATCTACATCATATACCTGCTCATTTTGTGGGCAAGTGTCGCACAACACTAGTGCACTTGCTGCTTTTGCCGATGACTTTCATTGTAGCCAGGTAGATGGCTCTCGCTCTTACTTTTCCTGTTCGGGGAGTTCCTGACTAGCAGTCGTATAGTGTGGCTTGTCGGCGTCCGAAGGTAATCTGCAAATGCAAGAAGACCTTGTGGCACTCTTCTCCAGGCAAATGCGTATGGATATACCGATATCGTCTGGAAGTCAGGAGATGCCACCGTCCACCCATGCACCCGTCGCGCACAGTATTTCCCAGCATTATCATCACTCCTCGCATGTGGCCCGCTGCACAGTTCCAGCAGGATCACCGGAGCATTATGAGTCATTGGGCCCTAATGTGACTCCAAACTCGGCACATGAGATGTTGAGGCTACAGAGCATTAACCCATCATCCCTGACTCCCACACAGCTACGGCTATTTGAGAATGCAATGCCGGAGCAACAATCACGCTTGGTCCAGATCTGGAGAATTTTCCCAGAGTCTAACGATGCATCTAGCGACCCAAGCATGGAGCAGGTGAATCAGTCGAGCTCCGAACTGTGTGCATATCCTCCAAGGGGGGCAGCGATCAATGCAGGGAATTCAAACCAACCAACTCATACGGATTATACTGATGATCTGGACATGTGTGACTCAGTACGCGACGAAGGTAACGATGGCGATGGACACCAGTATGCCGAGCCGTATATGGTTTCCGGCTATGAGGTTCTTGCACAGAGAGACTATGAGCTTTCTGCATCTAATATCGCACCTGTGGTGAATGAGCCAACAACGGGCTCACCATATAAACTGGCAAACGACCCCATCTACAGGGCTCAGGGCCATCGATGGTGGGAACGCTCCCAGTCAGATACGCCTGGATATCAGTACTGTCACAGCGTGGCTATATAAGGTACGATGCCGGCAGATCAGACCGTAGGGCCTGATCATAGTGACCTTTTGACCTGGTGAAAACGCACCTGCCGGGCACACGCTTTCCACAAGTATGGCACCTTTGAGATATGAATAGGTATGAGGCTGTGATCTTCTACAACCTAGACGGCTTGCGTAAATTCAGGCTTCCCGGGTTGTGATTGGGTAGAACGTTTAATCCGTCCTTATTAGATCACTTGCTATTGTTTCATATACGATATTATTCTAAGTCCTTGTAAAGGGTTCGATTATCTCTGGTGGATGTCGACTTACTACACGCCAGGCGATGAGTAACGCTGTTTTTATTATGTGCGGGGTTTTGGTCAGGCTTATAGTAGAAGTCGCAAAGGGCAAGGACGAATGATATATAGAAAAAGTAAGGTGCGTTTGAATAGCCGTACTTTTACTGGAGATCTTTGATGAGAGAAAACCAAATGAGCCGTAGAAGAAACGGGTGGCAAACAGATAGCAGATATAACGATAGTAACTGATTGCTGTGACGGCTCATATATAGCTGCTGTCCCATATTATGGGTTTCTACTCTCATTTGCCTCTGCCTCTCCTCCTTTTCTCTTTTTTTTTTTTTTTATATTTTTTTCCCTCCCCCCTTTATAGTCTCCCTCGCCCGCGCATGCGCCATCAACGAAGGGCGCTCAAACGATGTAAGCATCAGAAAGGAGGAAGTAATGATGACCGTAAGTAGTTCATCGGAAAGAGTGACTCGGCCATAAGTTTGCAGAGATATTTGCCACATATAAACTCCCTGTCTCACATATCCTAAGAAAGATACAGCTCCTGGGAGTGTCGACCTAATGCAAACACCGTCAGAATCTACCAGGGCTAACGTTTGCATTCCAAAGATAATGGATTTACTAACCTTCCTAGTACTCCTCAAGATCTGCCATAGCATCTGCAAGGGCATTGGCGGAACGTCTGGCGTCTTCAACAGCCTCAGCAGCCCGCTTAGCTTTGAGACATCCCTGACCAGGCAAGGCACACCACTTGGCTAATGCTTCTGCATCAGGCATGGCCGCAGCAAGGGCCTCAGCAGAACGTCGAACGTCTCCACTGGCGTCGGCAGCACGTTTCAACATGTAGCAGCCCTGAGCAGGCAGTGCGCACCATTTCTGTAAAACTCCGGCCTGCACACTGGTAGCTGCAAGAGCGGCAACGACGACAGAAATAAGCTTCATCCTTGATAACCGAGAGACTTTCTGATCACAAGGCTGATAGGCGGTTTAGATTGAGTCGGTTGAAAGTTGTTAGAGTCGAGATTCTTGGTCTTGATATGATACGGGCAAGAATAATGTCAACTATATAGGATCTTGGAAGCTAACAAGGCGAGAAACCTTACTGATTGAACTCATTGGGTTGTATTCTCGATGGAGAAATTGTCTTATTCACATGTGGAAGAGGAAATGCAAGACGAGATCAAAGAAAAGGGACCACAACCCTGAATAGGACGTATTGAATAGGAGATCGACGGTATGTTCAATAAGACCCGCAATATAGATGGGAGCAGTTAGGCTTATGCATCTCAGAGGGAAACGAATAGCATCACATGCTATGGACTCCCCCTACGCTTGTATAAAATAAACTTCTGCAGACTGAAGCGGCAACCTGATTGAGCCCTAATTGAATGTTTCTTTTGTACATCACAGTGAGGAGTGTATTGCGCATCCACTGTGGTTCAAACACTGACATTTCCTGCAACCAGACTGATAACAAATGGGTTGTTCTATTCTTCTTTCCCAATGACCCTTCAGAATAGTCGAGTTGCTAGATTGGACCATTATGTATATAGCCTTTTTTTTTTCTTCCCTATGAAAGGTTATTCTGATTCATAACCAGAAGAAGCCATCAATAAGGGATGGCTTCCTAGATGAACTGATATGACTACTACAAGAGAGACCCTGATTGATATACCAAAGGGGAAAAGTCGGTATATTAGATTGAGGACAATGAATACCAAAATACTTAGCGGAACAAGTTAAAACTTGAAGTGGGGATGGGTTTGCTAAGTCTTTTTCGTTTTCCTCTTTAGTCAACAACAAAGAAAAGAAAAGGTTCAGGAATATCAATACGATCTTTGTACTAAACTTGAGAATAATGAAGAAGAAACCTTAGTTACTCTCGGCAGAATGTTAAAAAAAACCTGATTGGAACAATCAAAAGACCGAAGAATGCATCAGTCATGGTTTAAGCGGTTTTATAGAGCGTAATTGGGCTGGTTGATTGATTATAGGTTAATTGAGTGATGGACCCTAAAGATAAGATCGGCCCGGATCATTCTTATCCTTGGCTTTCAATGGATGCCGAGACGATCCGCCGTTTTTTCCGGCGTCTCGTGCACTCCCTGTCCTTAGCCTTGGCCGCCTTTCTTCCCGTCCTCAGTCTCTCTTCCCTCTGCACGCCTTTTTCTCTCCTCTAGCTAGATTCGCTTTTCGTTGCTCTCCTCTCCCCCCCGCTTCCCCCTTTGGTTCATTGTTAAGATGTTCTCCCTAAGGACAGCGCAGCCCGCGCAAGTAAGTATCTACACATACCCAATCAATGGCTGACTTCGAATTGTGTTCTCTTTGTTCATGGGTCACCCTTGTATCTTCCTTCTGCCCGATAGAAACTGGAACAACAGGCTCTATTTCCTTTCCCCCCCTCCATTCCCTTTTCTCCCCTGATGATCTTCAGTTCTGATGCACTCCCGATTCGCACGCTTCGTCAATTTCTTCCCCCCCTCCCCCGGAATTATCACCCTGATATGTCATTAATTCACGTGATATCCCAACCATTTTCTTAGTTCGCTAACTTGCATCATGACAGTCTTTCCTCCGTCGCGCTGCGGTGACGGCTCCCACCGTCCGCTCCCCCTTGGCAGCAAGATGTATGTCGTCTATATCTTCTCCGTATAGCTGGTTTTAGATGGATCGTATGGTTGACTCGCGAGTTTTAGCCTTTGCTAGCGTTCAGTCGGACATCTTCAAGCCGACCAAGTATGGCGGTAAATACACTGTCACGCTCATTCCAGGTATATATACATTCTAAAAAACTCCTTGGAATCGCCTTTAGACCTGCTAACACATACTTATTTTTTGAGCAAAGGTGATGGAATTGGTGCTGAAGTTGCTGAATCGGTCAAGACCATTTTTAAAGCCGACAACGTGCCCATTGAGTGGGAGCAGGTAGATGTTAGTGGTGTTGATGCGGGCAACAAACATTCGGAAGAACTTTTTAAGGAATCTATCGCTTCCCTTCGCCGCAACAAGCTGGGTCTCAAGGGTATCCTCTTCACTCCCGTTGAGCGCTCCGGCCATCAATCATTCAACGTTGCTCTCCGACAGGAGCTTGATATCTTTGCCTCGATTGTTCTGATTAAAAACATCCCGGGCTACAAGACGCGCCATGAGAATGTCGACCTTTGCATCATCCGTGAGAACACCGAGGGAGAATACTCTGGCCTTGAGCATCAGTCTGTTCAGGGTGTCGTTGAGTCGCTGAAAATCATCACTCGTGCGAAATCTGAGCGTATCTCTAAATTTGCTTTCGGCTTCGCCCTGGCAAATAACAGGAAGAAGGTTACCTGTATTCACAAGGCGAACATCATGAAATTGGCCGATGGTCTGTTCCGTAGCACTTTCCACAAAGTCGCCGAGAACTATCCGACTTTGGAGGTCAACGATATGATCGTTGATAATGCATCCATGCAGGCTGTGTCCCGGCCCCAGCAGTTTGACGTCATGGTCATGCCCAATCTGTACGGCGGAATTCTTTCCAATGTCGGTGCAGCTCTTGTTGGCGGACCAGGCGTTGTCCCGGGCTGCAACATGGGTCGCGACGTTGCTGTGTTTGAACCCGGTTGCCGTCACGTCGGGCTCGATATCAAGGGCAAGGACCAGGCGAACCCCAGTGCTATGATCCTCTCTGGGTCTATGCTTCTGCGCCACCTCGGCTTGGATGATCACGCAAACAGAATCTCCAAGGCTGTGTACGATGTCATCGGTGAAGGGTGAGTAGTCTGACCAGTTCATGAGATACCTTGCTCCCTTACTGACAATTTCCCTTAGTAAAACAAGAACCCGTGACATGGGTGGTCAGGCCACCACCCATGAGTTCACTAGGGCCGTTCTGGACAAAATGGAGGCCGCTCTGTAAACTGCGGGACCTTGCCCGGCTTAATCGCTGTTCTCACGATAATGAAAGCTTGTATAAGCCAGTAGATTACTCAGTGAATGCCATGCTGGCTCTCTGGGTTTGTGTCTTTACTGTGTATTATCTTTCGCTGAAGCGACATCGAAGGCGTCCTACTCACAATTGAAGCTTGTCACAAATTTGCGGAGCTAGGATGTGTAAAATTACATACTAGGTTTTGAAAATAGAAGAAATTTCCCTTTAATTATCCATCAGCAGGATAGCTCCATCTGATATCCCACAAGCTTGAATGGGGAAGCCGCCCTCGCGTCGCTCATTTTAGGGCACCTCTTGAGTGTAGCGGGTTTTGGCTCAGAACCAACCCGGGGAATACCACTGCAAGGTATATACCCATAGATCATGAAGCTCTTAAGGACCTAAGGGTAGCTGTCGTTTGGATAATACCTGCTGTAAATGGACCTGCGCCTGGATGGAAATGGTCACAACGCAATAATTATATCCATGTCGTTTGTGGCCACGGCTCTCTACTGCCTTATTGTTTTCTGTTTCCTGCGCAATGAACCCAAGCACCAAAGAGATATCGACTTGATCAAGCACAGGAAGCCAACCATGGTCGTATTATTAGAAAGCTGGACGCCGCTTCCTCCCAGTGTACCTAGAATTCTGTTTCACAACCTTGCCCTTTCTCTCCATTTGTTCCTTTTTTCGCATAATCCAAGCCTTATCGCCTTTTCGCGGCAGTTGCATTTTCCCATTCTCCATTGCCTTTCTTCTGGCATCCAAGATATTAACATCATCCATTCCATTCACGACGCCTGTAATATCACCTTGCAGACCACCGCCACCGACAGTCAAAACAAGGTACAGCTTGCTGTTCTTTGTCCCGGGATCATCCTCTAGGATGCCGGCTCCGAAACCAGCCTTGATGGCAGCACCGCTGATCATATTTCGCTGTGCATCATTTTTAGGATAGAACTGACAAACAGCACGGCCCCCACGCCGTAGGCTAGCATAAAGCCCTTCGAAAAAACGCCGCAGGCGTCCTTCAGGACTAACATCACTCGTTTCGGCGTTGCAGAGCCACTGGATGGCACTGATACTGATAGCTGCATCAAACGTGCCTGGGCGAAATGGCACTCCTTGTCCGATATCAGCAAGAAACAAATCACCTTCTACATCCCGTTGAAGGGCGATATCAAGCATGCTAGGTGAGATATCCATGCCCATCCAGGTATGAGGTCCCCCATGTTCAGGGGGCACTGCAGAAAGAATTTCGCCGGAAAGTCCAGAGCCACAGCCGATATCCAGGATCAATGACGGAGATCGAAGGTCAAGAAGTTCAAGTGCCCGATTGGTCATATCAGATTGTATGTTACGAATTCGCGAGGACGTGGTATATTTGCGGGATTCATTGTCGTCATAGAACAGATCAGGGGGCCTTTAGTCAGAGACAAACGAATGGTTGGTAAGATACTTGCGCAGTTTCTTCGGACTGGGGATCTTACAAGACATCCTCCGGACGTGACATAGCTGTTACCTTAAATTAAAGTCTCCGTTTCTTAGCGAAGTGCTTTAGAACGTATGCCTTATTTTCAGTCGAAAGGTTGAGGGTGAAATGCTCAAAAGAAAATCTTAATAAGGCTGAGATATAAGCCCGAAAGAAAAGAGTTGAAGGACAAAACGAAAGCGACTTGATTTGGACCCTTGCTGTTTTCCCTTTTTGGGGCTTCCTTCCTATCTTTTCTTTTCTTATTTTTCTCCCCGGTCTATCTCTTTCTGCCGGAGGGGAAAGGTGCCTTGTACCGTCTATTGAAGCCTGAGGCATGAAAGTATCAACATATGTGGTACTCCATAAATCATTGACCGCGAGTCATTCAAATCACCTAACATCCATCAATTTACCCCTCTATCGGCTCATATATCATAATCCAATTGACTCCCATTATTGGATGACTTACGATCGCCTGGCCTCATTTGTCCGCTTCCTGAACCTCAGAACATATAATATAACAACTGGAGCTAGACTGATACTTTCAGCTCTCCAACATGTGGATCCTACCCTTACTAGGATATCTGGGGGTTATTGTGGGGTTCTCATTTCTTACTTTGGCCATAGGTAAGATATGCGTGTTGCCCCATAATCGGCAGCCAGGAGCTGCCAAGTTAGGATATCTTGCCAGTGGATGTGAAGCGAAAAAAACCCATACAACTGGGTTACGGCTCAATTGCTAACAAGCGCCTTCAATCGTGCCGAGATGCATTGGGCTGACGAATCTCTAGCTTCTGGGCTCTACTATATGTCGGAACTCGTAGAAGAACACACTGTTCTCGCCCGTCGCCTTTTGACTCGGTTGATATACAGCATTATCCTCATCCAGATCCTCCTATTCGTGTTTGACCGGTTTCCTTTCTCTCTATCCCTTCTCGGCATCGGCTCGCACATCGTCTATGCAAGTAATTTAAGACGCTTCCCCATCGTCAAGCTATCGGATCCCTTTTTCATTCTGTCATGTGTCCTTGTTGGCCTAAACCATTGGCTCTGGTTCCGTCATTTCTCGAAACCTCTACCTGCATCGCGAGCTGCATCCAGCTGGCGCCAGCCATACCAAATCAATGCGGAGGACATGCCGACTTTCACTGAAGTTGCATCTTATTTTGGACTTTGTGTTTGGCTGGTCCCTTTTGCGCTCTTTGTTAGCCTCAGTGCAGGGGAAAATGTCTTGCCCAGCATAGGGTCCGAGTATGCTACTGGTGATCATGTTTCAACCCCAGGGTTTGCTCGCAATACTTTGACTTCAGATGGGAAATCCAAGAACAAGGGCATGGCAAAGGCTCTGGTGGACAGTGTTCGGGACTGGGTCAAAGAAAATGGTGAATTGATGGGGTTTTGGAGAGGTGAACGCTCGAAAAGGTTCTGAGGCGCTACAAAACTACGTAATGGGTATTTTTCTGGTCCCTGCTAGCCTGGTTAATGTATTTGTACTACGATCACCATCGACAGCGACTATCTATCGAAGAGCAGCATGCGTGGGTTGATTGGGCTCTGATCAAACTTCACACACCTATATTATATACCTAGCTAGGCGGCAGAAACTTTGCATTGCTTGAAAGTGCTAAGACGTATTGATGTAAATATATAACGCATGGGTATATAACACTTTGGATTTTGTTCTCCAACGTGATTGGAACCAGACATCGGGAGAGATACCGAAGAAGAGTGAGGACAAGTAGGGCAAGAACATGATATAAGCAGCCGGCAGAAGGTAGGTATGTGTAAGTCATGTCATAACCAATAGAAGCATACCACCGCCCTTCCCTGCATTGAATACGACTAAAAGATAACTGTCGTTAAATCAAAGCCGGGCTAGTGTGGGGGGAGTCCAAACGAAAATGTAGGCAATGTGAAATTAGAAAAGCGAGAGCTATCTCTGGTAATTATCATTAGTATTAGATATTCCCCTTTGGCATTTGGCTGAATCTGGTCAGGTCTGTATATTCGAGTCATTTCAAATTCGTTCAAATCATGATGGCCTTGGTCGTTGAAGCACTGCCCATGTTCAAGATCAACGACGAGGTGAGGTGATTGTGCGGGTGGGATAAACGCAGAACACACCCACACCCACACCCACACCCACACACACATATATATATAAAAGTGGACCGTTCAGATTCTCCTTGGTGTAACCGGCTGAGCGCACAAGGCGCAGACGATCAGGCTAATAATCGTGAATCTCGTGACTCTAGCAAGAAATAGTCGAATTTACTCACCATCATCATCGTTCGTAGAAGGAAAAGGAGAGCTAAGATGATTAACCTCCATGAAAAGTAGAGAGCTTTCTCTTCTTTTCGATTTGATGGAACGTGAAGCTTCAGGGTTTGGTGTCAACATCCTGCTCGTTGTGGAAGAACTGGTATGCTCCTCGTTATTACTTTCCAGGAAGTGGCTAGAGGAGTGATCGTAGCTCGACTGATGAGTTATGCATTCATCACAGTCACGAGGATCCCCCTGTTTACGGAAAGTTGTTTGAGTATGCAAAATCGGCACCTCTGTCAGCATCTGGCATGGCGTAAAATGAGAAATTCCTGGGGATGTAGGACTACCCATGATTAGTTCATCATTGTCGGAACGCATCCCTAGCAGGTCTTCGAAGATTCGCTCAAATTCAGTAAGAAACATCGAGAAAACAGGTGCAGGTATGTTTAATGTTGGAGCAAAAACTATGCCAACATTTCTGACCGTCATTTTATTGACATCGGAGTTGTTCACGATGATAATCAAAAACTGGACCAATGCTCGCAGTAAAGCCAAGTTTGGTCTCGGAAGTCTGTGAACAAGAGAGTTGAATGCTGCAATCTTATCCTGCCTTTCATTAAGTTCTGGAACGAAGACCATTAGCATCAAGATTCGTTAACATCACTTCAGATCAATATCTGTGCTTACCAAGAACACGCAGAAATTTGATATGAAGTTCGCGAGTGAGAACAGTAGTGGGTAACTCTCGCAGATATTGTTTGAAAAGCGAGGCCACGGCATGTACATCGTAATATTGATCACCGGCGAGGAAGTCCACATCCCCTTCAGCATTGAACCTTTCTTTGAGCGCCTTGACAACAATGTTTGACCCACTTAATCGAAATATCCCTTCCTCTGATTCTGCACGCTTGGCCTTGAGGTACTCGATGCAACGGTAGACTACAGCAGGTAAATCAACGTCGACACCCCGCGGTGCGCAGAACTGCACCGCCTCCGCCAATGGGATACCAAAGACTGGCCTGACAAAGTCCCTTTTATCACCCGAGGTAAGGGTATGTGGTTGAGCTGATGGAGAGTCATAACTGGCTTGCAGTTGTGAGGCAAGGTCGACTGACGATCTTGTGCGGAATCCCCAGATGCTACGTTTTTTTTCTTTGGTACTAGTTGCCGATTTATTGCCCCAAGCTCCCGCGTCCTGGATAACAGCTCCGTTTGTAGGTCCAGATATGAATCTAGACGAGAGCTGGCTAGGGTCTGGCACATGGTTCGTTGCTTGGGTTGCATCTGTAGGGTCGGTTGGTGACATCTGAGGGAAAGTGGGTGACCTTAGTACCTGTTGTTCGTAAGGTGGTCCGAAAACTGGTGGTTCGGCAGGGACAGCATCCTCGTAACTAAATCCTTGAACTATATCGGGGCCTTCAAGATCCGAACTGTCGGTTGTTCTGTTGTTCTTGTTTCCATTTGGGGGCATTTTGGGGTTGACCGTTATGTTGGCAACGTGTATACCAGAGGCCTGACCCTTGACAGATCCACTAATCGATCCTTCGTTCTCGGACTGCCCTTCTACATATTCCAAGAGTGCCTCTACCCAAGAATCCCTCTCTTCGTCGCTTTCGGCACACAAAACATGTCGGACAAGAGCCGAAGAATCCTTTTTCTTTGGTTCCAGAATGAGAAACGCGTGGCGATATTGATTGTCGGAGTCATCTTCGGCTCGTGCAGGCGGGCTATTATTTTCACCATTTGTGCCCTGCGACTGCTTGCCAATCTGGGCATTGTAAATTTTGATAGTTCCTAGGTGAGGACCACCTGGCGATTCAAGGTATCTCAACTCGGGGCCATGCAGGACAAAATACCGAGCCTTCCAACCGCCAAAATTCTTGCCTCTTTTTGTTAAATACCCTTCTTTTCTGGGCTTACCATCTGGACCACGAAGTATTTCGGAGCTCACGTGTTGACTACCTTTTAGCAAACTGGTTTCATCGTCCCGTGGCTCAATGGCATCGGACGTGAGGAACTGGCATATAACTAAAGCCGCTTTTTCATCCATTGGCGTGTCGAGAAGGGCTTCGAAATATGCATTTATTGCGGCTCGCCTCGCATCCACTTTGGCTGGGGAGTGCCCACTGAATATGGATCTGTCTGGTAGCTTCCCACCGTAGCTAGATAACTGTTTTACTTGCTGATCAAGTTGTGGGAGTGCCGCGATGACCTTTTCCACACGCCAGAGCTCCAGGTTTTCAGAACGCGAAAGGACGCTCAGTGTAAAAACGGGCTCTTCTTCTGAAGGCCTAGACGCTAAGTAACTATTTCGGGAGGGGCGGAGCCGTGATGACGACACCTTAACTAGCACCAAAGGCAGCGCATTTGGAGGTAATAGATAGCCTGGGTAATCTTCTGAAACTAATCCCCGATAGATACCATTAGTGTTTGGCACTGTGGACCTAATGCTTTCGGCTCTAACAGTGGCATCGATCGAGGGGATGGATCGACTGACTACGTCGATTGGCAAGTAGGAATGTGTAGCGCTAAAGGGGGCCTGATACTTGCTGACATGAGGTGATAGAGCCAATCCCGAGAGGCCACTCCCTGAGGCTATCGGTAAAGAAGCTATGTTGTTGGTCATGTCTCTGGGCAACCGAGGCAAAGGAGAGTTGGGTGGGCGATCCTCAGGCCTTGGACTGACAGGTAAGCCAGGGCTCTTCGGCGCTATGATGATAGGGTGATCGCCGAGAGTTATGCGAGGACTTAAAGGAGCTGTCAAAGACTCAGATTGTTCAGTGATTGAAGCTGCTTGCCGACGCAAATCATCTGCAGGTGCCTTCGTTGAATGCGAAGATTTGTTCCTCGAAGAACTCAGCGCAATCCTTTCCCGTGCGAGGACAGCTTCACGTTCCCGATCATCGTCATCGCGCGTTTTTCTTCGACCCCGTTCTACGGGTATTTCATCAACTGCCAAAATATCCTCATACTCAGACTCAGAGTCGTAGATATCTGGGTTGCCCAATAAAGTGCGTTCGCCTTGAGCAAGATTCAAGGGTGCGGGTGGAGCCTTGCGCACAGGATGTGGGACTCTTTGCTGCTTATCTTCACCTGGTATAGTATCGTTAACAGGGGAGCTGGAGCTTGCCAAAGAACTTGGGCTCGCTAATTCTTGTTGAGAATACACTGATGGTGGGGGAGGTTGCGAGCCTAATCGCCGATCCAGCCCGCCTTTATGACCAGTAGAACACTCCTTAATCAGATTTTCCGATAAATCCTGTACAACCACGTTCTGCGATCGGATAGTGCTAGAGGATAGGTTTCGCCCGATAGAATTAGGGCTAGGTGGTGACACACCTTGATACTGCGACTTCCCTTGCTCGGGATTCCTCTGCCCAAGAGGTTTGTCTTCACTTTGGATGGCTTTATGCTGTAAGTGATGCCCATTGCTTGGTGGTAAAATAGGTGTAGGGCTCTGTAACTCCTTGAACTTCTTCCTATATCGCTCTTTCTCTTTCAAAGCACGTTCAAGATCTTTATTTAACCCAAGGATAAGTGTTCTTTGCTTATCAACCAGTCTCCAGAGTTGCGAATTCTGAGATGCTGCATGATGCTTTTCCTTTAAAAGATGTATGATTACTGCCTCGGCAGACCCTGCAGTGGCGATGAGATTCTCAATATCAGCTTGGCTCAAAGCCGTAGCATCAAATGGAGACTTATGGGACTGCGAGGCGGAAGAGAGTGATGATATCGCAGAGTCGATTGACGAGGTGCGGGGCATGATGCGCTGCCCGGGTCGCTCCCCAGGCGCCGAGACAGATGATATAGGCGAAGGTGTTGAGGATTGGTTGGCTTCCATTGCGTACGGATGTTGTCGAGATTTAGTTGGTATTGTCTGTTCGGTCAAGTTTCTATCATGCTGGTCAGGTCTATTCAACGGTAACCCTCCAAATGCGCTCAATGAGACTTGGGTGACACCGGATGAAGGAACCGGGAACGTCGCATGAGCTATTTAATGACAAATCTGACCAAGCGTTTTGAAAGCGCAAAAGTGCAGCTAACTAACTCTGGCGACAATAGTACTCTGCGAGGGCCTAGTAGTTAATTGCGGGGTGATTGGAGGTGATAGCTTGTATACAGAGAGGTGATGTAGATTTACGGAGAGTAGTAATGGCCGCAGCCTCAGCAGTGTACGTCGGGATCGTGGTCACGGATGGTCACGGGCAATGAAATAGAATCACCAGTCAATGTTGAATGTGTAAGCAACCGATGTCCTGCTGAATGTGGCCTTGGAGGCCCTGCAAAGAGCTTGTTGAGGTTGTTGAAGTGTTGTTGCTACCCTGCCGCGGAAGCTGCTACATAGCAGATTATGTAGGAGTTGGAGCTCTCAAACTGGAAATGCGGACCACGAGTGGACGCTAGACTCGGGCGGTTAATTGAGTGGGTGATGGGCGCCGGTTCAGGGGTAAGATAATATTACTACGTACTGTCCTTACTCCGTAGTATGTACCTACTTCTTACTACGTACCAGATAACGTAGGTTTCTGTGTCCAAGGGAAACAATGAGTATAGATAGTTGAGATAACTTACAGCAACAAATTAGAGTAGTACGGGGCACTCTCATTCCATACTAGGTATGTATGCTTGACCGTTTACTCTGTGCAGTGGTTACGTGTGGAGAGCATACGAATAGTAATACATATACGCGGCATATATATATGTAGTAGGTACAGATCATAGATAAAATGCCAGATTAGAAAGTGGAGGATTCGGAAAATAAAGGGGGAGATGCATCCGTGCTTTGTAGTGCATGATATACATAGAGCAGTATACGTACTGAGGAGAAGGAGTACTACTCCGTACTAACTTTGGTACAGAGGACAGAGTACGGAGTACTCTGTATGTTATTTGGTTTGTCCGACATCCTAACTTTTTAAATACATAGTGTTATTATGACTAATAACTATGCCCTAGGTAATTACCATGTAACTCCAACATAACTACTTAACTAGTACAGAGTACCACTCATTTAAGTATTACAATGTGGATGCAAAAAGGTTGAAACCGCGTTTTTTATTGCTCTTTTATAACCGCCTTCCTAATAGGCCATTATGCTAGCAGAAACCTCCTAAATTTAATGCGGTAGGGTAGGCCTAAGGCGGTATTTAGGGCGGTGAAGCGGTCGGTTTCAAAACTTTTTGCATGAGATTGTACATATTTAAGTACAGTGATTGTCTCATGTAATCTATTTTAGTTTCAACAAGAATCTATGCAATAGTATGTAGTTCTTTGAACTGCTCTAGAGCTTAAGTCTATTACCGCGGATCTATGTATCTTGAGATAGATACCACCCTTTCAGATCCATTTCTATATTGTCGAACAAAATATTCAAAATGTAGTATAGAGGTTCAAGGGATGGATGGCAAGGGTAGTAAGCGGAGGTAAATGAGGAGAGATAAAAGGAGCCCAAGCCCTTGCCAATGCTACCTAAGGATGAGGAGATGAGTATGTCAAACAGGAGCAGAGAAAATCACAGCATTTATTCCTCGCCTCGGTAGATAATCATTAAACGCTTTTTATTCCCTGAACGCCTTTATTATCCAGCCCTTGAAACGCCAGAAACCTCACATAGAAATACAAGGTCATGCTATATTTCCAGCCATACCCATAAAAATAGCTTGGGCTGCTAATTGGAGAGACCAAAACCCTACCTTCTTGAAACGTCGCTTGCGTGCTTGCTCATCCACAACATCCCGGGCAAATGCGTCATAAACCTACAAGACATCAGTGAGTTCCAACATTGTTCGGAGAGAGACGGTTGACGTACCGCTGCCGAGAGATCATCCATTAAGCCGCTATCGAATATAGTCCAACTGCCGTCGAAATCACCAACTCGCTTGACGAGGCGGCAATTAACAGGGATGAAAGTACGTCGTGAATTGATGTATGCCACAATGGGCCTGATGAGGGCATTGTTTATATATGAGAGATCTCGTGTGAAGAGGGGGACAACTGCCCTAACATTGTTTAAGTGCAGTCGTAAGTCGGTGACTAGAAATCGCCTGTCGTTCTCACCAACAGCTTCACCAAGCTGAGTTGAGGAATCTAATAATGTATCACGGTACTGGGTAGATGTGACAGTTGCTTCTAGTCGATCATAAATGCCAGCCATGACCTTGGTTAGGCTTTCATCATTTTCTGTTGGAAACATAATGTCGGCAACAATGTCGACGGTTCCTTCATGTATCCACGAGAATGGCCCTTGTACTCCGCGGTTTAGATGATCAATATTCAGACCATCAATGCGTATCCTGCTATGTTTCTTCCACGGGCTCGTCCTACCATCCTCTCCTACACCGTTGTCTAACTGTGCTCCGGTGAAACTGTGAGTCTGTCGTGGATGAATAGTGAACAGCGAATTGTCAAAAGACCCTGACATCATATTGGCTGACATGAAGTCATAAAACAGCCACTGCTTTCTCAGTTGTGGCAGATCGCAAGAAAATATACTAACAGAAAACGGTCTGAAATTGTCTGGCTGGTAAACCGTGACTAGCACATCGCTCATCTTAAAAGAATCGATCTCGAAGTCTCCGGGATTGTGTTCATGCCGGTAGGATTTTGGGTCGAGATCATCATCTGACCAATAAACAAACCTGCGGTCAACAACGCCCCGTATTCCTTGAATCTCGACATCACGTAGCAGCCCTTTGCCGTTGATCCATTTTGTAAATGATAGTGTGACGTTTACTGTCTCAATCGCCAGGTCAAATTGCGTATAGTTCGTATCCTCTTCTACCGATGGGGGTCGTTGATCCGACAGGCCCAGGTTAGGCCGATCATTAAGTGCTGCAGCCGCAGCCACGGCAGCTGCAGTTTTAGGCGAGCCTTTACTAACATGGCCTGTTCCCTGGCCGGGTCGCCTGGAAACAAAGACATTCTTGAACGTTATTACGCCATCTCTCCACTTGGGGACGATCGCTGACTCGAACACAACTTTCACCCCTGAAGATTTCGTAAGATAGTTACCTATCCACCCAGCCAAGGTTTCTGTATACCTTTAGTAGTAGATCAAAATACAGACATCCAGACCTCGAACATACCTTGAGCGAAAACTGTATTGATTGCGATGATCAACAAGGAGAAGAATGTCGTTGTGCCTAAGACAACCCAGACAACATGCCCTAGGAGTACCCACGAAAAAAGTGCAGTTATCTCGTCGAGATTAAAAGGCCGAACGCTTCGAATCGAGAACCACTTAAATCGTACTTTGAGCCGAGACCAAAAGCCGTTCGCTGCAGCCAATAGCTCCTCTTTGGTTGGCCGGTGCAATTGTGGCATGTGTGGCAAACGGTCAATCAGATGGCGGGTCGATGGCCCTGGCGGTTGGGGCCCAGGCATGTCCTGCTTTGACCTTGTGTTCTTCGTGTCCACCTTATATTCTGAAGACTTGACATTCCCCCAAGAGCCTTCATTGCTGTATCTCAAAGATTCCATATGTGCCTCCATCTTCGGTAGATCATCCTTGCTCGTGTGGGGGCCTCTTGGTGGGGATGCATTTCTTGTTGAGCTGTGAAGCAGCCTTCTATCAAACTTGTAGATCCTGTGCGTGACATGGGATATAATCTTTTCTGGGGCTACCGCACAAGTTGTCCCAGTCTCTACTGCGGTCGAGTTTGGGGATATTCCGAGAACAAGAAAACTACCTGAAGCGAATCGTCTGGTGATCTGTGTCGTTTTCCGGGGAGGTAGGGAGGATATCTTCCTGGTCTGTCTTTTGAACAAAAGGTCGCATATAATGTTATTCGAGTTTGTTGCTGTATCATAAAAATGTGGTGTGCGACTTGTGCAGAGGCCGCGTCCGAGGAAAGGATTCGCTGCTTCCCAGAAACTGGTGTACAACCTGCGTCCAAAATTGCTAGACATTATTGCCGTCACATGCTGGAAAATGTATGATGATGAGGTGAAACAAGGGCCGTTCCAGTTATTTCAAACAAAATCCCAGTAGCGCTTTCCAGGACCTTCGATAAGATGTGACAGACAATGTATGCCCATGGGCTTCTGAGGTCGGGAAGTGTCTAGCCTTGGTTCTCGGACAAGAATTGCATGAAATCATAAACCCGCGCCTAAAGACGTTTGTCTTGTTTGCAACCGAAAACTCTAGAATTCCCACTACATCCACCGTCCTTTTACAAGACCCGAAAATCATTACCAGCAACCCAAGCAAAATGCCAGCACCAACAGCACTCAAGAGACTTGATCAAACAACAACGTCCGGAGCGCCTGTCGCTCAGGCCGCTATAGGTATGCTTTATTTACTTTGTCTTTTTGGTCTGCACTAACTATTTAACTAACTGTTAGATCAAGATGACGAAGTTCTAATTGATGCACAGACATCAGCTGAGGAAAGTGTACCGGTGTTTGCCTCTACAGACGAAAATGCTCCAGATGCCGACATGCGCATTGATGAGGAAGGCCGGCCAGTTTTTACACCCGCAAAGGATACCAATACTGTATATCGAGTAGAAACTCGGAAGGTTCCTGTTCCTCCTCATAGGTTTTCGCCTCTCAAGGCCTCCTGGAGTAGAATATACCCTCCGCTAGTTGAGCACCTCAAGCTACAGGTGCGCATGAATATCAAAAGCAGGGCGGTTGAGCTACGTACCTCTAAATTCACCACCGATACGGGCGCACTACAAAAGGGCGAAGATTTTGTCAAAGCCTTCACACTCGGGTTCGATGTTGACGACGCTATTGCATTACTCAGGTTGGATGACCTCTATATCCGATCATTTGAGATTCGAGATGTTAAAGCATCGCTTCATGGAGAACACCTTAGCCGCGCTATTGGGCGGATTGCAGGCAAAGACGGCAAACTTAAGCACTCAATAGAAAATGCTACCCGTACCAGGATTGTCCTCGCAGATCAAAAAATACACCTATTGGGTGGCTATCGCAATATTCTGGTTGCACAGGAAGCTGTTGTTAGCTTGATTCTCGGAAGCCCACCGGTATGTCTGCCCACCTGTCTCCTAGGATATCCAAATACTAACTTACAACAGGGCAAAGTATATGGTAACTTGCGCAAAGTGGCATCACGCATGAAAGAGCGCTTTTAATGCCTGCACACAGCTGTTTTCTCTATTTATCTTCCTCTTAGATCTCTTTTGACCATGGTACTGGCGTTAAAGGTTGAAAAGAAATTGGTTTCGACATAATTGACATGATGGTGAAGAAAAAGTGGCTTACACCAGAATTATCCTATCCATGCTTTCATACCATGAGTAACGAAATATCCGAATGAACTTGATGAGACACAACGTCGAGTATACCCTCCTTCTAGTCCTTTTTCAGTGGGGTGTAGATCTCTTCTATCCCATTTGTCGTAATAACCATCATTTGCAATCCATCTCCAACTTCGATATGTCGCTCCACAGCGCTGGTAAATGCATCACGCACGAGCCTTTCGACGGTCTCTCTGGGTAATGGCTCCGGCTTCTTAGGTTCGAGAGCATGCCCCTCCCCACTGCCGGGAATGTATTGGTTCTTGAAGTTGACTTGGTTATCCAAGAATGGCATGATCAAACTGGCAGCGGATCCGGCTGCTCTGCACTGCTCTCTTTCGTATGAGCCTACTGGATCGTAGCTGTACAACGCTCCTTTGCCCTCTTCGTCCAAACCGGCTAGAATAGCATGCACATAGTAAGGGAAGAAACGCTTTTGGTAAAGAATGGTCGACAATCGCTGAGCGCATGCTCTGACAGACATGGGCTTCCCGTGTTGATACTTGTACATCTTTACCACTGTGTCTAACCTTTCTTTCAGTGCTTGGCCATCCGCAGCGAAGCCCACGACTGACAATATAATATGGGCACCCTCGCCAGTATCATCATCACCGCCAATTTTGAAAACCTTAGGAGCATAGCGAGAGTTGATGTTATACCCTGCCACCGAACGAGTGTCTCCAGCAAGGATAGCGAAGTCAGCACCTGTGATACCCAAAGTGGAGCCGCCGTTGTCAGTGTACCTATGTAGGTCAGCTCCAGCGCCAAAACTACTTATAAGAGTTGGGTACATACGGGTAAAATGAGTGTTCTTTGTTTGGGGCGTTTTTTGGATGAGAGAAGGAGTAGCCGACGGCGTCGCTCTGAGGTTGGTGACCCATGAAAGACATCATCTTCTAAGGTGTATCTCGGTATCGACCAAAGTTAAAAGATAATTCAAAGTGAGTACAGGCTGCGTGTAGCGTGTATTTAGCCACTTGGATAACCCAGAAGGCTTCTGGATTAAAAAGAATCTCGATTGGGGAAAGAAGTTGAGTAGTTCTTGGGCGGAGCTATTACTACACTAGTAGTAGTATTATCACCGTGACGCGGTGTAGCTGCCTTCGGCTTACATAAGCCGATAGATTAACGTAACCTGTAAACGAGCGGCCACTGCAAGCCAGCGGCCAGCTCTGGTACTCCATACAAATAGGTCCTTTTTGACACTCGAATATCTCAACAACTATAAATAGTGAGGATA